AGCAGTATACTTGCTAGCTATGCTTCCCTTTAGGTTTTATGAAATCCTCAATGGTTACAACCAGGCCGCAAGGAACTCTGGTTAATTGTACTATGGAAGATTAAAGAGCATGCATGCACAATCAACAGGAGCAACTTGGAGTAAGCACAAAACTCTTGTTTCCCCAAATCAGCAAATAAGTGGGCTTTCACCTCATGCTTTCTTGCCAAGCAACTGCTGTATGTCAGAAGCCAAGAACAAAACAAAAAGCCAAAAAAAAAAGAATGATACTGATTTGCTGTGTGTGGATGCCTGTGTTACAATAATAGCTGACTGCTGGAAATAATACCAGGAAAGCAACCAAACCAAGCAAGGGAATTTGGGATGTTGCAAAAAGGAGGAAAATGAGAAAGGAAGGGAAAAAATAGCATGAGTGCTGCACTCAGCCCCTTGAGATAGTCATTGTCAGTCTGGGATGGTAAAATTCACTTTACTGTCCTAAATGCAAAAAGGAAATATGCTAAGAAAGCTATCAACCTTGTTGTATATTGATTAACAGCTATGTGGCAAACACTGTAATTTTACTGCAGGTTCTATACTATTCAGTCTGCAGATTGGATATACTATTCCTTGAAGTGATTTAGTTAGGTATTAAATAGCTTTTAATAGCCTAACTGAAGAGCCCTGGTGGCTAGAATTCAGTATTGCAGGCTAACTCTGGCCACAGTCTGGTGTTCAATCCTAACAGGGCTTGAGATTGATTCAGCCTTCCATCCTTCTGAGGTTGATACAATGAGGATTCAGGTTGTTGGGGGAAATATGCTGACATTGTAGACCACTCAAACAATGCTGCAAAAACACTATAGAGCAGTGTATAAGTCTAAGTGTTATTACTGTTGCTATTGCTTTTCCTCCTTTCTTTATTTCCTCCTTGTTTGGCTGGTTTCTTATTAAGCCCAGAACAAAAAGGCATTTGTCTACATTTGGAATCCTAAATGAAACATTTGCCCTGCCTTTTGACAATCATTACTCCTATTTCATTTTTCTTCCATTAACCCTGCTAACTTAGATAGTAAAATTGTTTTGTTTGCGGGGCCAGGATGGCTTTCCATAAGAATAAACCTGAAGTCAACAATCACCTTTAGCTTTAAATTACTGAATTGTGTACATCATTCAAAACCGATTTCAAAAGCCATGCGGGATTTGTCTACAGCAGGGGTAGGCAACCTTGGCTCTTTTATGACTCATGGACTTCAACTCCCAGAATTCCTGAGCCAGCTGCTGGCTCAGGAATTCTGGGAGTTGAAGTCCACGAGTCATAAAAGAGCCAAGGTTGCCTACCCCTGGTCTAGAGTAGCAAAGCAAACTCCCCCCCCCAAAAAACCTATAGTATCTTAAGACTTAGCTGATTACCATATTTCTCTGACGTCCTTGTACAATCCTCAGTGGTCCCTAGCATTTAGGAGTTAGAGTTCTGCTAATTTAATTTTCATATAGAAATGTTCCCCTTTATGTCCTTGTATAAAACATATATTTTCTAGAAAGCTATTAGCAGACAAAAATGATGGAGAAAAGTTAACCTTTTGGTAATTTCCAGAGTACCCTCATGGATTCCAGTAAAATTTGGAGCGTGTCAGGAGTGATCAGTATGTTAGAAACCTTGTAAAGGATTGCGTGAAGCTATGGCCTCACCAAAGATACTAGATACTCCATAAAACCTACCATGATGTTCTATTGTACTAACTAGATCTACTGAAAGAAAAAGGAACTGCAAAGAATCCTGAGATAATACTTTCTTTTTAATGTTGGAAGATTTTTTTCACATTTTATAGTGTTAATCAACTGTTACCCTTTAAAGAAATAGCTTTATAGCTCCTTAAATGCATCCAGAATGTGCCTTGGTAACAGTTTGTTATGCTGTGTCCATATGATATTACCTTTGCCTCATGTGCAATCTACCACTCAGTTGTCTTGGAGTGATCCTTAGCTGTTTTGAAGTATTATCTCCCCCCTTCTTCCAATCCAATGGTTTGCTATGAATCTAGAAAATTCCAATAATGCTTCTAATACAGGCAGGGATTGTGTGTTCTACCCAGTTTCTTTTGGTCTTTAGGTACAGGAAGAGCTGCAAGTACAACCCTCCCCTTCAGTCACTGGAGATGGCTACAAGAGAGCCCTGACACTTGATCTCTGGAAGAGGCATTTAATGCCACATAATGCCTGCCTGGTGCTTTGTTTGAGGATTATCTGGGTATTTCAGTTAACCCGCACATTAAGAAGGTGCAAAGTAAAAAAGTTTGGCTTAAAATGGGAAAGGAACATTTTACAGGTAGTCCTCGATTCACGACCACAATTAAGCCCCCAATTTCTGTTGCTAAGCAAGATAGTTTTTAAGTGAGTTTTGCCCATTTTACAACCTTTCTTGTCACCGTTGTTAAGCGAATCACTGCAGTTGTTAAGGGAATCTGGCTTCCGCATTGACTTTGCTTGTCAGAAGGTCGCAAAAGGTGATCATATGATCACTGCAGCCATCATAAATATGAGCCAATTGCCAAGAATCCAAATTTTGATTGTGTGACTGTGAACATGTTGCAATGGTTGTAAGTGTGAAAAACAGTCACAAGTCACTTTTTTCAGTGCCGTTGTAACTTTGGACAGTCACTAAACAAACTCCTGTAAGTCTAAGACTACTTGTATTTATTTTTAGGTCAGGCATTACAAAAGACAAAATTACAAGCTATGTTCAATTATTACAGAAGGCCATGGACAACAGGGAACAGGAATGCAAAGGAAGTAGATCAGTGGTTCTCAACCTGTGGGTCGGGACCCCATTTGGGGTCGAACGACCATTTCATGGGGATCGCCAAACAAGGCTGTCCGCCATTTTTTTCCCCTTTTCTTTGGCCACGCCCCTGGCACCCGGTGATGTATAAGTGGTTGGGGGCCACCACAATATGGGGAACTGTATTATGGGGTCGCAGCATTAGAAAGGTTGAGAACCATTGAAGTAGATTAAAGAAAACCTACCTCTTCAGCCATTTGAACTGATGATATAAAATAGAACAGTATTTTATTACTTCTCTTTCCAGCCAAATCAAGTTGGTCTGAAAAGATACAGAGGATGTGAAAGGCTAGTATTATGCATGTGTTCAAAGATGCCTGGAATGGATATGTTAAGACTCTTTTTGAGAATAAGATTGTCATTGATTACTGATCATGATTCTATATATCACTTTCTAGAGTACAGTATATTGGGGATAAAGATGGGAGTGTGCCATCACCTTCCTGAATTTTTAATGAGTTTTTTTTTTCTATTGGACTGGATCTTTGGCTAGAAATACATTTTTTTTAGTTGTAAAAATGGCTGAATAGGATAAACAAACAACAAACTCAGCAGATCTAGTAAAAGCCTTCACTGAAAGTTTTATGAAAAAGTATTCAGGCTTACATGCAGAATAATGCAGAACACCTCCCCATCCAACATCTGAATCAGTGTTTTTCAAACTTGGCAATTTAAGATGGGTAGACTACAACTTACAGAATTCCCCAGCCAGTATGCTAAATTTGCATATAGTGTATATTCCCATCATTGCCTCAAATATTTGAGCTGGAAGACGTAAGCTTGTGAAACGTCCTCCTCCAAGCTACCATTATCTGGGATGCAAGAATCCTGATAATCACTAGAGGGCAGCAACAAGAAACAGACAATCCTAATTAGGGATTGTTGATTTTTTTTTTGTTCCAGATATGGTAATCTCTTTTGAGTTAAATACAACATTACACCCATGTGATTTTCATAGCAAGCAGTACAGGAGCAGTTTGTCTGCTACCTTTGATGATACTTTTCAACTTGATAGATTGATATAGGTAGGTAGGTAGGTAGGTAGGTAGGTAGGTAGGTAGGTAGGTAGGTAGGTAGGTGGATAGATAGATAGATAGATAGATAGATAGATAGATAGATAGATAGATAGATAGATAGATAGATAGATAGATAGATAGATAGAGGGCTTTTTTTGTCATAGTACGCCCAGAACAGAGTTCCGGCACCTTTTTTGGATGAAACTTTGTAGGGTAGGGAAGGCGAGTTATATGACGTGTGTGAGTTTCAGTACCTTTTTTTTTTTTTAACAAAAAAAACACTGGATAGATAGATAGATAGATAGATAGATAGATAGATAGATAGATAGATAGATAGATAGATAGATAGATAGATATCAAACTGGTATAATTTGTAGACAAGGAATATTGAAGCTGTGAGAGAAGTAATTGTTACAATGGCAGAAAGTATGAATCACTTGTATTTTTTTTTAAAGCTGTAAGGAATGTGAAATCTTTGGAGAATTAGTAGAAACCATTGAACTTGATCCATCAATAGATCTGGATACATTTTTTGCTGCTGTTTTAGTTTGATCAATTCCATTTTGATGTGTTTGCTCCTACAAAGAATTCTATAATCTTATGTTTACATATTTGAAAATCTCCTCTTTTTTTACGTTATTGGTTAGTTTTTCTTAGTTTAAACAGATGATATTTTATTCCATAGTTGCGAACAATTAAGACTGGATCAGTGATCAAAATTAACTGGATTACTCCACAGTGTCTTAAGGTCAGAGAAACTGATACAGTGCTTAATCTTGAAAAACTGCTGATTAAGGGTTCAGAATATGTTCCTTCACTGTATATTGACACTTTGGACTGCAAAACCTCCAAAGGAAATCTTGCTAACCCTTATACAATGATATTCAGACTCTTCTATTTTGCATAATAATATTAAAAGCAATTGAGTTGTATTTTAATGTTCTGTTGAAATAGTTAAATTAAGGAATACAATTACAGGTTTTGGTAAATAATAAATTCTCAAACTTGAATCCTGGTGGTTTATACAGTCCATATAATTTTCTTATATACAATACAAAAGTGGTTTGTCATTGCAAATTATCACTTGACTATTTTTCATCGTGAAGTCAAATATTTATATAATTTGTGCATTTGGCCCCAGTAGAGGTTTGTTTCTATGCATCTTTAAGTTTCTTTGATAATTATTTTTATATATCTTTCATTTATAGTATCAGTGTTTTGAAAGTATTTATTCTGGAATTGGTGGCAGTTCATCAAACAGTTAACAAAAAAAATTATGCAGATTAAAGAAAGAAAATGGAGAAATGCTTTAAGTTTGGTTCTCCTCAAAATATTTTCAGAAGTATTTCAGTGCCAGATTATTGTCACACATAACAAGACTTTCATGTAAAGCTCATTCAATACTAATAAAGAGTCATCATCATTGCAAAACAATAGATTGTTGATGTGAATACTCTGACTTAAGTGCAAGCTTTCTCAGATTGAATCATATGACCCAAAAAAAAAATTTTTCCCACCTTAAAATGAGTCCATTATGACTCTTAACTTGCTGGATTGATAGGAAGGCAAACTTTACATCTAGGTAGAAGCAGAAAGCAATTGCAACTGAGAGGCCTGCCATCCCCCGGGAAGGATCGGATATCCGACAGCCTCAGCCTGAGGTCCAGCCCATAAGGCTGTCACCTACAACCTTCCCCGCCCCATCCTCACTGCAGCTTTGTTAGATTTCTCTAATGGATAGGAATCCTTTCGTGATCATAGACTGGGAGGAGAAAAAAAAAAGATTGCTCACTGGCTCCTGCACGCCTCTTTTTGATTGTATGTCTCTATTCCGTCTAATTGGATGAAATAGAAAGTCCCTGGCAGCCCTGTGTTGCTGGGTGTGCGGATTTAACTCAGGCCAGCCCTGCAGAGGGGTGGGGAAAGAGGAAAGAGAGCAGAAGGAAGGAAGGCATGGAAAGGAAAGAGTACTGTGGAGGGACGAAGAAGAGGAGAAGGTGGTAAGGACGCAGAACAGAGAGTCCCCATCCTTTTATTCCTTCCTTTCTCTAATGATGCTGCTGGGAGTGATGGTCAGGAAGCAGGCACCTGCTGCTCTGTAATGATTCAGCCTCTTTCTGCCAGCTCCTTTGCACAACAGGATGCTGTTGTTACTGTCTCTGCCGCTGCCGCTGCCGCTATCCTCCTTACTTATTTTCCTTTGGCTTCTCCTGCATGACGGCTGTGTTTTCCTCCTCCCGAGCAGCCCCCAGTCTCAGATGCTGAAGGTGAGAAGCCAGCTGTTCACTTTGGGCTGTTGTTGGTTCAGTTAACCTAATTTTGTTGAGGAATTCAGCTTCTGGTTCTCCTTGTCTTGTTTTGTTTCCTTGGAAGAGCTGAGATGGCTTGAGAGGAAATTAGGAATTTAAAACAAGGATCTTTAAAAAGTGAGGAAGGAAAAGGAGCTGATTCATTCACTATGAGAAGCTTCTTTTCTGAGGATTCGGGAGGTTTTGATTCTTTAGTGGCCTCTTTCTATTGGATCGTTTTTCTGATGCTTGGACTCTGTTTTAATGCCTGTGCCGTGATGCTGTAAGATTTCTGGAGCTGGCTTTCCTGGGAAAGGGGATGGACCAGAGTCAAGCTTATAATTAAGCCTTCTTGAGGAGAGCTCCCTGGAAAAATACAGGCTCAAGAATGTCGGAAGCCAGCCTGGAGAAAGCTCCCCATCCCTCAACCCAGCTGAGTCCCACTGCATCACTTGAGGGGATTCCTGGTGAGGAAGAGATGCCAGAGACTCAAAGGGAGGAAACCAGGATGCAGGGAATAGCAGGCCTTGCAGCTACTTGTTGTGTGTGTCTGGAGGCAGAGCGACTGACAGGTTGCCTTAATTCCGAAAAGATCTGCATTGTCCCAATCTTGGCTTGCCTGATCAGCCTCTGCCTCTGCATCGCTGGCCTTAAGTGGGTGTTTGTGGACAAGATTTTTGAATACGATTCCCCTACCCACCTTGATCCTGGTAGGGCTCGACAAGATCCAATTACCTCTGTGGACCCTACTGCACTGTCTGCTTGGTTGCCATCTGCAGCACAAACGTCCTACTTCTCCCTTCCCATTAATGAAGCTACACAGGACATCATGGAGCAATCCAGAGCCACCCTGGTAGTTACCTCTGAGGTTGACTCTAAGCCATCTCCATACAACACTGTCCCAAATGACTCTTTCTTGCCATCTTTGGTACCCTCGCTACCTCTGCCTAGCCTAAAACCTGAAGTGAAAAGGCCCACCACTGCACCCCTGGTACAAGAAATTGAAACTAATATGCAAACAGCTCCACCAAAATTTGGTAAGTTCATATTTTATCCCCCCCCCACTTCCTCTGCCAGTTTGATCATAACACTTTGTGGTAAAATATTCATGTTGAGGGAACATGTTTTGCTGACCATTAAACTGATAAGGGTTAGGGCAAATTATACTTTTAGCCTATTCCTTTACTGAGGTTCACAAAAAGAATAAGAGGGAAGTGAGGTTTACTGTGCCATTTGCCAAGTCACTTGACTAAAATGAACTTTAAGAGTCCATTACAGTGATTTTATTTTATCTGAGTTCTTTATAACTATCAAATCTCTTTGTTATTCAACTTCTGTGTATTTTGCATTTCCGAAAAATTATCTGCCCCATCACAATAGCATATACGTTTCTCCCCTAATAATAATAATAATTTGAAAATATTACATTATGGAAGAATTGCTCTGAATTTTAGCAATAATTGTAGATTCTGGTATTACAGCTTGTACGACCTTTATTGCTATATGCAGTAAAACCTCATTGCTGTATGCAGTTCTACTAATACCTTTTTTGCTGTGGAATTTATTATTATTGCTCATAGTTCTTCAGTCTGAGGTATCAAATAAATAATAACTTGCTATATTCCACCCTGGAATCTTTTTATGGCAAGAGCCAAGCCTCGGAATCTGTGGTATAGTGATGAAAACCAAGAGTCTAGAGCATGTACAGACTGTATTTCCCTTGACCTTGGCTAATCAGTTTGGAATCAAAACGCAATGCATCTGACTTGGAGCATTTTCTTTCCAGGCTGTACCTGAGAAATGTAGGTCAGGGTGGCGTTGGAGGAAAAAGGGGAGTGTATTTCTGTGTATATAATCATGCTTTTTACAGGTTTGGGAATATATAAATAATTTAACTTAAAACACCCCCTATTTGCTGATCGGCCAAATTTAATTTAAAACCCATCAGTTTAAATTAATATTTTTTTATCCCCATTCCTCTTATTGTTCAAATCAGAAAACAGAGGAAACGTTAATTTTCTCACTAACATACCAAATGTCTAAGTAATGAAAATGTAATGGGGTAATTTGATGTGCAGTAAGTTAGCATTTATTTTTATCAAAATGATTTCTAACCTTTTGTATCTCAAATGTTTAATAGAATAATCTCCAATAATAGAGAACAAAAGTGCTGAGGTTTATTAAAATGCAACTGTTGTGACAATGCAGTTCGTGGATTGTGTGTCTTGAATCAGAAAACTGCTTTGAACTGATTCATAATGTTTAAGAGAAGCATGCAGTGAAGAACGCTGGTGATGTATGTTCACTTTTGAAGCAAGAAAGTTCTCCCTCTTTTTTCCCTTGACCAAACTGCTTTGTAGGTATTCCTTCTGAGGGCATCATGTACCACAAATGCACCTTCTCTTTTGTGTACATACATGTCTCATAAATTCTGTCATTGAAACAGTTTTGCCATTTAAAATATCAGGCCCACACAAGATCTTTCACTGGAATTCTTCTGCTAGATTAATAAGTTTAAGCTTATAGCTGTCATGTATGAATGACTTGAGTTGTACAATTCAGAAATCCTATCACTTTTAGAAACGCTGTACCCATTTTCAGCAACTACAGTATGGTTCTTGCCTAGTTATTATATTTTAGATGACAGAATCCCACTGAGAGAAATTGAAGGTTATAACAATGCAGCTTCTTCATGTACTTTTTGCTTTGAGTTTCATTACAGAAGTATTGGCTGGAGCTCTACCTATCTTGAACTGATAACCTGTCAAATAAAGGATGGATTACTGGATAGTAAAGACCAGCTAAAGTAACTGTCACGTATCAAGATTGCTTTAGACCATTTTTGTACATGACAGTGTCATCTTTTCTTCTTTCCAAATAACGCTGCTGACAAATGGTTTATCATTAGGAAAAAAAAAAGTTGCCAGAGGAGCAGAAAATACCAAAGAACCTTAAATACAAAATTTAAAATGCCTAGCCCACAACATTCTTTGTATTAGGAAGGAATTTAGTTCATTCAATACTATAAAATTAGGCCAAAAATATGGCATCTGCTTATACCCTAGCCACTGAATAAGTTTCTACAGGGAAAAAAAGAGAGTTAGAACAGCTTTTATCCGTAATGCAATTAGCTCATACATTTGCAGGATAAAGGGAGGAGGTGATTCCACGTTAATTCTATACAGGGATACCTTTGGTTTTATTTCCATTTGCATTTAAAATCAGTCTATCTTTAGTTTTGCAGCAATGAAAATCTTTATATAATCAAGAGAAGAGAAGTTAAAAAAAATAGGTTTGCCATAAAATGTAAAAGAGATAAAAGGTGACTCAGAGGCTACCCCTATTATAAATTAGGGGTTATTGGAGCGGATTGTAGAAGAAATTCATTAGGTGGATTGTTGGAAGAGAGGGAAACATACACCTGTAAGGAAGCATTGAGTTTTGTTGCAATGTTCAAGCTAAGTATAGCCTGACAGGTCAATTTTGAAACTGGATTTTTTGTGTATGGCAGAATCTCATTTCCTTTCTCTCCAACTCAGCATATTCTGTTTGGGATTGCATCTTTCAAGGTCATAGCTTGACAAGGGCTAATTGATTCTTCTTTGAGCTGGAGTCTAAAAGAGAACATTCCTAGCAATTGTCTCTGTTAACATTAGTTTCAAGCAATTGTCTACCTTTTAGTACCTAACGTTTTGTCAATTTATCAGTAGGAACATAAATTCTCTTTATCTTTCTGATTTTGAAATAAATCTCACATTTCTTCTCCTGAAGTAGGAAATTGTTTTAAAAAAAAAATTACACATTCATAGGCATGGCATGTTCACATGTCAATCGGATCTGTCATATTTTGCTATTTATTATTTCAGTAATCGTATGTTGGTGTCATGAATGCTAATCATACAGAGGTAGAAACTGTACAAAAGCAGCACAATTACTGTAATATCTATGTTTGGATTATAGCAAATGTTTCTATAATATTGTATATACATTATATTGTATATTATAAATATTTTTGATGCTACTGTGCTAAAGAAGTAAAGCCATTTTATCTTTTGTTTGAACATACTGTTAATTGTTAGAAGAAGATTCTGTGCTACATTTTTCAGCAGAGATAATTCTTATTGTCTTCTAGTAGCCAAAAAAATAAGGTGACCATTCCTGACTTGGTTCCATAATACAGTTTCATTATCCATATTTTTTTCTATTTATTGTTAATTCTGTGGATAATAGATAAGATAAAAATATTTAGAAACATAAAGTAAAAGAGTCTGCATTCCTGAAAGCCACCAGGAACAGTTCAGAGCATCTTTAGTGCCTAATCGACAGAAGGACATTATGAGGCTTTTTAAAACAGTGGATTTAGACCCATTTAAAGAAAATCCTAGCTGAATCTAAGCTTGCATACTTTGGAGAATAGTAACTGCTTCTCAAACAGCCCCTACTGTTTTCTGGACAACAGAAAATATAACATCCTAAATAAAAAGCACAATTTACACAGTTTAGTTTAGATTCTTGAATATATAACTAATTTTTGGAGTCATTACTTGCCTTGCAAAAAAAATTTTCATTCGCATGCAAACATAAAAGACATTCTTAATAAATATGATGGCTCTTATAATTTTTAATTAAAAGGGATCTCCCTAAAAGGTATATTGCATTGCAAACAATTTTTGTTGTTTTTAAGATAAAGAATATTTTTCAGTGAATTCTGAATGAAAAAAAGGATGAGTGAAATGATGGGAAAGATTATTGTTGCTTGTCCTGTTTGATCATGAAATGATACTTTTGCAGGTGATTCCAAAATTACTCAGTCAGGCGGATTTGTTAGAGCCTAAGTAGAATATGATTGCATTATTTATTCAAAAAATGTTGAATAAATGAAAAAAAATCAAATCAAATTAAAAAAAAATGATATACCAAGACAATTGTGCATGATTCCATAGGCAGATTTCTATTCTTTCTTATTCTTTTTTTAAACTCCAATGATTTCAGAAATTATGATTGAACTTTGAGAGAAACTCACTTGTATTGTACAAAAGTAGTTGCTACCATCCTAAAGAGAAAAGAATTGGGATATTTGGTTTTGGTTGCCTGAGTTATAAAATTTACTTTGCCATTTGAATGTAAAATTACTACATAGTTAGTTCTAATTCTTAACCAGGGTTACTTTTTATGTAATATTCCTCTATTTATGCCAATACCTACATCAGCATCTTATCTTTCCTAAAAGAAATTACTTGATCGTTACATGAATTGCAAGTCATGTAGACTAATCAAGCTCCTAAATGCAAACTCACTTTTCACTTCCTCTTAGTTTTTAGCAAAACAAGAATTAATAATTTCCTTCTTTGGAGGGCTGCCACAAAGAAGAGGGAGTCACATTATTCTCCAAGGCACCAGAGGGCAGGACAAGAAATAATGGTTGGAAACTAATCAAAGAGAGAAGCAACCTGGAATTAAGGAGAAACTTCCTAACAGTGAGGACAATTAACCAGTGGAACATCTTGCCTTCTGAAATCATGGGTGCTCCATCACTGGAGGTTTTTAAGAAGAGACTAGACAGTCACTTGTCTGAAATGGTATAGGTTTTCCTGCTTGAGCAGGGGCCTGCACTAGAAGACCTCCAAGGTCCCTTCCAGCTCTATTCTATTTCTATTTCTGTTCCTGGACTTGCACTTCTGCTATGATTTGTTTTTGGCAAGCCCAGGTTATAATTTGACTATCTTTGTTCAGAAGCAAATAGGGTGGTACAAAAATCAGATCTGTACAGGCTTATGATCAGATCAGTCATGTTACATGACTGATCTGTTCATAAGAAACCAATTCTTCTTCTAGGCAGGCAAGCTAAAAGAAAAGGGAATAATTTACATATGAATGGAGTTTAATTCCTAATTGCCAATGCAAAAAAGGATTACCTTTTTTGTAGGGGAAACAATCTTATACTACAATGGGTTTCAATTTTTCCTTCCATATCATGTCTTTTTTTCCCCCAAATCTGTGCTTCCAGTGTTTTATCACTATCAATGTTCTCACCTTATGTACTTTTTTTTTAATATTCCTCATTTTTCATTCACATTTGTATTTCTATTTCGTATGCTGTTTGATGAGTGTGATGATTTGAAAGAGCAGGATTATAAAGCTTAGAGAACTTATATCCAGACTATATTCCTCTTCTATCTAGGCCTTTTC